TCATTGTTACCATCCCACTAGGCTTAAAGGGAAATACTGAGCAAGAGTGCTGAGCACCTTCAGGCAAGAGGTTTCCTGGCACAGTTGGGTGTCCCCAGGTACTTCTTAGAGCCTTGTGACTCTTGTCAGAGCAGAGCAGAGGCCAGACCAAGGACTAAGAGGCGAAGGGCCAGGGAGAAGCCTGACTGTGGGCACAGCCAAGAAGCTGTCCTGATCAAAGGACTGTATCCTTAGTAGTTTCTGATCCTGAATTCTAATCTGTTGCTTCCAATAAACTCCATAACTGTGAATATGATCTGAGAATTCTGTGTGGCCATGCGTTGAATTATACCCACTCTTCACTTACCAACATGGTTTGGTTCCAAAGACCAGGTCATTATGCAAAAATTGACATTATGCAAAAATAGAGGATGACTACATCATTATATAATTGCCAAATTACATCATTACGTAACTGCCAAACCGCTGAAGATCATGGCGCAGCCATGTTGACACATAACCTTAGCCATCACAGTCAGTGTTACTCTCACTTAGCACCTCGGAGTTCGCTACTGACAGACATACATTGTTAATGTGCAAAATAGTTGGATAGTAGATTTTTTTTTACTATTATTGTAAATGCGAAACGTTGGATAATGAGAGTTGATTAAGTGAGGAGTAGGTGTATTGAACCCAGTAGAGAAGTTGAGAGTGCCTTATGAGGGATGGCTGGTGCAAAAGCCAAAAGGTGGGTGGTTTAAAAGTTGGAGAGAGAAGGTCTATCTCACCTCCACCTCATAGGAATCAGCCTTTGGCTGCTGATCGATTCTTTTCCCCCCTTGTGATGCTAGAGGAGATCAGATGCTGCTACCATGCCATATTTACGGTTACCACCACTTTTATTTATTTATTTTTTTCCCTGCAGTTGGCATTAGAAGCAGGATTCATTGCAATGGCTCCAGACTCATGGAAGATGAGACTTAGGAAGAGAAATAATGAAGGTGCATGGGAAGTGAAACATTTGATTTTTAGATGGTTACTTTGGTGGTTGTTTCCTGTGATGGCGGAAAGGAAAGTAAGAGATGGATGACGCAGCTGAAGGGAGAAAAGCTGCGTCTGGAGTGGCTTGGGACAAGAGCCAGGCCAGTTAAACAATAGGATTGATGAGGGGCCAAGGTCTCCTGGTTCTAGCCAGTCAGAGGCCAATACTATATGCATATGAATGGGAAGATAGTCAAGGTGTGGAGAAGAGAAGATAAAACTGGAATGTTTTAAAAGGGGTTACCAGTACGGGAGCTCTGGTAGCATAGCACTTGACTGCTAACCAGAAGGCTGGCGGTTCAAACCCACCAGCAACTCCTCGGAAGGAAGGTTGGGCAATCTACTTCCATAGTGATACTGCCTCAGAAACCCGAGGAGGGGTCGCTATGAGTCGAGTCCGACTCGATAGTACATAACAACAACAACAACAGTATGGCTTTATTTGAATGTACTATGAACATTGAATGTTTTTCCTATCTAAACGGAAAAAAACAAACTCTGCTGTTGAGCCGGATCCAACTCATAGTGACCCCTCCTTGGGTTTCCGAGGCAATATCACTTCGGAAGTAGATTGCCCAACCTTCCTTCTGAGGAGTGGCTGGTGGGCTTGGACCACCAGCTTTCTGGTGAGCAGATAAATACCTTAGGCACTGCACCACCAGAGCTCCTACCTCGTGTTGTAGAACAGACCTATATGTTGTTGTTTTTGTTTTTGTTAGGTGCCATCGAGTTGTCTCCAACTTATATCAACCCTATGCACGGCAGAACTAAACACCACCTGGTCCCACGCCAGCTCCGCAATTCCTGCTATACTTGAGCACATTGCTGCAGCCACTGTGTCAGTCCATCTCATTGAGGGCCTTCCCCTCCCTCATTGACCCTCCACCTTGCCAAGCATGACATCCTGCTCCAGGGAATGGTCCCTTCTGACCACATGACCAAAGTAGGTGAGACAAAGCCTGGCCATTCTCGCTTCCAAGGAGCATTCTGGCTGCACTTCTTCCAGCACCGATTTGTTAGTTCTTTTAGCAGTCCTTGGTACTTTCAGCATTCTTCGACAGCACCACATCTCAAAAACATCAACTCTTCTTCAGTCTTCCTTATTCATTGTCCAGCTCTCACGTGCATATGAGGCAATTGAAAATACCATGGTTTGTATCAGGCGTACCTTAGTCCTCAAGGAGACATCTTTGCTCCTCAGCACTTGAAAGAGGTCCTTTGCAGCTGACTTGCCCAGTGCTATACATCGCCTGATGTCCTGACTGCTGCTTCCATTGGCGTCAATTGTAGAACCAAGCAATGTGAAGTCTTTGAC